GAAGCATTAAAAAAAAATGTCAGTGGACTTCCACTTATGCCTATGATGGACCAGTGTGTAGCAGGCTCCCACTAGAATTGTTAGATAAAATACCAAACCGTCTTCCTGAAGGCACTGGAGAGATACCAAGGGCCAAGATGCCAAGAGGGAAGGGAGACTCATTGAAGGAAGCCTGACATTCCATGTAGCTTTTCCTCTCAAGGCATTTTGGTTAAATGCTCAGCTGTTAACTGAAAAGTTGGCAATTCAAACCCACCCAGAGATTCTGCAGGAGAAAGAGCTGGTGATCTGCTCCCATAAAGATTACAGCCAAGAAAACCCTGTGGGGGCAGTTCTACTCTGTCACATGGGGTCCCTATGAGTACCTAACAACAACAACAATTGGTTTGGGCAGAGAGGCTGACAAGCCAAATGAAAAGCTACAACTAATAGGCTGAGAAGCTGAGTAGAGCTTTCAGCAGCTTCACAGCCTGGGGAGACAACAAGCAAACCTACTAACCTTCCACTGCAGGCATTTTCTTCACTGCCACCTCCTCAGGCAGGTCTAAATGAGAGAATAATGTGACATTTCCTGCTTTTTCCTTTTTGACCCTTAAACTTCTGCACACTTTGGATGTGGGAGTAGGATAGAAGGTGGTGTTTATGGAACAAACTTGCAAATTTAACCCCTTTGAATCTAGCTCTTTTTGCCTATCCTCAGCTTCTACCCTTTGTTCATGCTTTCATTCACTGAGCAAACATTTCTTGAGCACCTCGAAGGGCCAGGCACTATGTTGGGCATTTGATGAGTAAGACAAGGACCCTGCCATTGAGCAATTTACATTCATAATAATCCCTTACATTAAAAAAAATAAAAGTTGTTACAGAGTTGATCCTGACTTATGGTGACCCCATGTGTGTCAGAGTAGATCTGTGCTCCATTGGGTTTTCCATGGCTGACCTTTCAGAAATAGATTGCCAGGCTTTTCCTCCAAGACGCCTCTGGGTGGACTTGAATCTCCAACCTTTTCATTAGCAGCTGAGTGTGTCAACTGTTTGCACTACCCAGGAACTCCAATCCCTTACATTAGGACATCCATTTATATTTCGCAAAAACTTTTTCACATCCATTGCTACCACTGATTCTCACAACAACCCCATGGGATAGACTGGGCAGGCATCAATATTCCTATTTGCAGATGAGGAAACTGAGCTGAAAATGGCCAAGAGCCTTCCCCGAGGCCACTCAGCTAATATGTGATAATGGTTTTCTGCCTTCAATTCCCAAAGGATAGTCCTGGCATAGACACTGTCTAGCATAGACACAAATAATTATCCCACAGAGCAGGAAGTGATAAATGTTATATGAGAGGTACAAACACTATGAAAGTGCCACATGCTCTCTGCTAAGCAAATGGAGGCTCAGAATAAATCACAGAGCTGGAAGAGGTCTCAGAGATCAGCTGCTCTTACCCTTTCACTTATAGATAAAAATAAAAAACAACAATAGAGAAGGCCTGGAGATAAGCATTCTGCCTAAAGACCCACAGCAAATTAGAAGGCAGGCTCCTTTCCCAGGAAGTTTAATAGTCTCAGCCCATCAGTCAGCTCTTGGCATCTTCCACTTTGGCTGTGGCCAGACCTGTCCCTCTCCCCTTATTCTAGAAAGGCAGCTGGGCTCTGGCCAGCAGGAGACCTCATTTCCAGCTCCAGCGTCAAAGATGTCAACACTTGTCTATGGATGAATGAATGAGTGTTTGTCCTTGAAGGATGAAGGACATGCATTTGGCCCCTGAAATTTTCTTTCAGATGTGAGAGGTTTTCCATGTCGCGATTTTAAAGTCCAGGAAAGATGTTGGCCAAAGACACAATGTAAGCAGATGTGCCAGATGTCAAGCCAAGAGTCAGATGGAGCCCAAATGGATGTCCCACCTGTGCTCTCAAGATAAGCTGAGGCCCGTCCATGAAAACTCTGTCATGTAGCAGGACAGTAACACATAGAAAGTCCCATGACTATCGTTAGGCTCTACTTAGAATGAGGATCGAAAATGGTCACCCTGCTGATACTTTTGCTGCTGTCTCCTTCTTCTCCTCTACTCTCCATCTTGCACCCTACACCTAAGCAAGACCTCAGCAGGGGTGTCCTTTGGGTATTTGTGTGCTTATGCTCTCAGTTTCTCTTGTTCTGGCTTGGCACTGGACTTGTGCATCTCAGAGCCACGGCGAGGGTTCAGGACTTCAAGTCATATATGATTCTCTGTAACCATTTAGTCTCAAACCTTTGTTGACTTCATTTTATGTCACTGAGCATTTCTGCTGCCACCAGGGCTAATTTTTTCTTTAAATTAATTTCTCAACCTCCCCCAGTATCAGGATGCCTATCTGTAAAATGAAGACACCAATACCTGCCTTGTCTACTGTACAAGGGTCATTGTGAGGCTGAAATGAAACAAAGTGTGTGATGGGTTTTGCCATCAAGAAAGCTTTATATTAATTTGTTCTTAGGATGAATGCAACAAAAACACAAAATTGTCAGAGCATGACCCATAAAACTATCTAATAATGCTCTTTGCTAGAACAGTATGCACTAGATGTCATGCAGATACACATTTAGGTGAAATACTGTGAGAAGGTTACCACAGAAACACTCAGTAGCTGGTTTAATTGCAAAAATGTAACAAGAAAAGGCAACTGGATCTTCCCTCCAACCAACCAAGATTAAAGAAAAAATTAGCCCCGGTGGCAGCAGAAATGCTCAATGACATAAAATGGAGTCATCAAAGGTTTGGGCCTAAATGGTTAAAGAGAACCAGAGAATCAAAGAGGTGGTTCCAAGTCTGAGATCTGTGGTGTGAACAGATCTGCCTGGAATCGTGGGGTTTCCCTCCTTCCAGTAAGTGGCTCCTTTGAAATTCCCTAGATGATCAGGCCCAGATATTTGGGCCCCCAAATGTAGACTACAGGTTCTGGAACTGTCAAATATCAGTTGCTACTTATTCTAGTCCCTAGAGCCAAGATCTGCTGACCTGTCAGTTTTAACAGTCTTCCCACAAAGACACACACTTCCTGGGAAGGGGTCCATGGAACCTGGGTGCAGCCGTCCAAGTTCCAGTGTAAAGGAATGCAGATTAGGAGTATTTTGGACTATTTTGCAGGAAAAAAACTGTTGGAAAGACAGAGTGAATATCCTGCTGAGAAGGACTAGCATGAAAAGGTAATGAATGTTGTTTATCTCAGAGTGAAATACTCATAATCAGAAGCCACAGTGCATTTCAAGTAATTTAACTAAAAGAGTGAGTCAGATAACTCACTTGTGACACAGAATCTAAGGGTAAATTGGGGGCAGAGTTGCCCCAAGGGGAGGAAGAGGTTAATCCATTGTTGGAGAATTTGGCAGGGAGTAGACAGGAGTGTAGATGTATTGTCACTGAGGTGGATATCACGTTTGCTCAGGTGCTTTAAGAGGGGCAGGAGTTTAAGTTTATGTGACTTTGGAGAAGAGGGCCACTCAAGGCAGCTTGGGACTTTGGATCTGAACCGCCTTAAATTTCAATCCTGTGTCCAATCCTTTCTAGCTGTGTGATTGTCTAGACCCCGTTTGGTATCATTTCTTCATCTGTGGCTTTCTGGTTTCAAAGTTCCTGGGTCAGTGAGAATTAAAGGAGATAATGTGTGTGTCACACACTCTCTGCTTTGGGCCTTTGCATGCATCATCCCCTCCACCTGGAACTGCTCTACCCACCTACCCTACCCTCCTGCATCTGAGTTTCTCCTTCTCATCTTTTAGGTCTCAGTGTTCATATCACTTTATCACGTTATATGAATGAGTTGGGACTCCTCCTATGTGCTTCCCTATCACTGCATCAAGATTGCTTCATTACTTGTCCCTTGTCAAATTTTCAAGGCCATGAAGGCAAGGACCAGGTCATCTTGTTTCCCTTCGATTCCTTCCACCAGCCTAGTGCCTACCACATAGTAGGCGTTCATCACACTTCTGGTGAGTGAATGTATAAATTAATGTGTAAAGTATCTAGCACATTGCAGGAACCCATAAATTGTTGGCTTCTCTCCCTTACCTTCTTAACTTTAGAAAAGTGGTTGACCACGATCTAGTCCAGAAGGAAAACCAGTATCAACCAAAGGAACAGCATTTTCTTCAGGCTTATATTTAAAAATTTACTGGATGGAGTTCGAAACATGTCAAGAAATTCCTGCTTCCCCCCTCCCCCGCCCCAAATGTATTTTGCTAATCCCTGAAAGTTACAAGATATAACTCTTGGTGTTTGAAATCCACTCATTGTCCCTTCAGCTAAAATACAAATCCCCCCATAGGGGTGGAACTCATCGATCCCTTTCTATCTTCTCAATTTAAGTGTGAAAGATATTATCAGGTCTCTTGTTGAGATTAGATTTTGATGGTGGAGGCATATGGGGGCAAGGGAGAAGAAGAGAGCATCAGGGAGGTGGGCATGGAAGGGGAAGAATGGTTGAGGGCACTAATAAGAGGATGGGAAGGGAGAAGGAGGAGACAGAGTCTGCGAAAGGCAAAAACCAATTGCCATTGAGTCCACTCTGACTCATGGCAACCCCATGTGTGTCAGAGTAGAACCGTGCTCCATAGGATTTTCAATCGCTAATTTTTCAGAAGTAGTTTGCCAGGTCTTTCTTCCAAAACACCTCTGGGTAGGCTTGAAGCCTCAACCTTTCAATTAGCAGCTGAGCACGTTAACTGTTTTCACCACCCAGGGACTCCTCTGAAACATAAGGTCTACCTGTTTCTCTATCTGGACACAATTAAACAAATCCACTATATTATAATCCAGATTTGTGTGCCAAGCAAAGTTAGGAGCCATAACACACTTTACACAAGAGGTCTGCAACTATTTTTCTGACAGTTATAAGTTGCTCTAGGCTTTTGCTACAGGATTTTATTAGCCCTCTAGGATTTCTGCCTAAAACCAGGTTGCAAGAGCATCAAGGCCCTCTGGGACCTCTGTAACAGCCCTGGATCTGGGTCTCACCTCGTAGAATGGTGACATTGCGAAGGATTTCTCCATGCTGCATGTCTACTGCCTTCATCTCCTCCATGATCATGGAAAGGTTGTGGACACTGAAGTCCAGCCGGGCACTCAGCAGGCTGAAGCGTTCCCTGAGCAGGTCTGTAGTGCCCAGCATGAGGGAGACTGACTTGTTCAGGTAGTAGAGCTCCTCAGCATGGGTGTGGAAGCCCAGTGTGCAGGAGAGTCGCACATCGTCCAGGTACTTGAGCATGCTGTGCACGTGGTTGTCAGTGGCATTGATGTTGGTGAAGATGGTGCTGATCTCGATCTCATGAGAAGCCATGAGTCCTTCCAGCGTCTCAAACCTCTCCACTGTCCGGTTCTGGGCATAGCGGGTGTGGTACTGCAGGTCATGCATGTTCTCTTCGTGGTCATCTAGGAAGGATGAGATGTTATCCAGCTGCAGCTGCACGCCCATGACCTGCAGCACCAGGTCATGCATACTCTCGGAATTCTGGCTGATACGCTGCGAGGAGACCCCCAGGGTGGTCTGGATGTTCTTGACTGCTTCTCCTGTCCTAGCTGAGCTACTGCGCAGGCTGCTGAAGAGCCGAGTATAGTTCTGCCAGTCAGTGACAATCTTCTGTAGGGTCAGGGTCCCCTCATCGGTCTTCCGCTGGATCCCATGGATCCACTCTGAAGTCTGGCCCACAGTGAAGTTGATCTGGTGCACTACAGCCCTGACATTGTAGCACTCTTGGGCGAGGTCCTTCAGAGAGAGGTCCAGGCTGCCTGTGGTGGCCTGCCAGCCTCTCACCTGGGTCAAGAAGAACCCCAGGGACTGGTTGACCTGGTGGATGGAGAAGGAACAATTACCCATCTCTTGGGTGATCTGACTGCTGGTGGTGGACAGCAGTTCATGGGCCTTTGAGGTCTGGTCCAACTGGATCTCCTGGGCCAGAAGCATCTTCTGAATGCCCTCTAGTTCCTCCTGCAGTTTTCGGATCTCTTGCCCCAGCTGCCCAACCTCATGGCAGAAAGAGCAGTTGCTCAGGGATTTCGGATCTTCATGAAAAACAGACAAAATATTGAGTTGTCAAGGAATCACAGAATAAATATTGTTTCTTTAAATTAAATATTTCAAAGCATAATGAGTTGGTTGGTGGCTTCCCAACCATCCTTCCTTTCCTAAACCCTGCTGTAAAATCCCTCTTGGGGAAGCCTTACCATTTCCATGAAATCTCATTTTTATCAAACGTCATTACTATGACTTGAAATGTAGAATTTAGGACATTTTATCCATCTCACCACCAAATTTTCAAGAATGTATCTTCATAACATTTCTGAGGTTGCCAAGGACCTCCCATTTGCACATTATGTAAAAAAATTTCCAAATATTTTTATATGTGTTATCTTATTCAATCCTCTTACAATGAACTTGCAGAAAAGGTGGTACAGGAGTTATCTCCCGTGGCTGATGAGGAAAAGAGGCAGAGAAGGGTCTGCCTACATACTACTCAGCTAGTTAGTGGCAGAGCCAGGACTTTCTCTTTCATCAGAGAAGATCACTTCTAAACCCTTCTCTTATGGCTCCTTTTCTCTCATTCTCTCTGAACAGCTTCCTTGTTTAAACAGGAGATACAAAGCATCATGAGCTGAGGCACAGCTTAAGGTGGTGACAAGTAAAAGGCTGACTTGTAAGAAGGCTATTTTTTGAGGATATTTTGGGTATGTGACTATATTTGGCTCCCTTCTCTACCTGTGGATTCTGACTGGGTCTGTGGGAGGCTAGCTGTGCCCCCCACAAAACCCCCTACTCCAATCCTTGTGTATCCCAGGGCAGCAGCCCCCTCAGATGAATGGTCCTCCAGCTGGAGAAGGAAACAGGGAGCCCTGGTGTCCGTCCCTTTTCTGTGCCTAGAAGGTTGGTTGCTCCACCCAATTTATACTGGCCTTACATTATAGCCATTAGTACATCTGGACACTGAACACTTACCCAGTCCTTGGAGATTTTCCTGCATAGACAGAAGCTTCTTGTCATAAATGGATTGGGCCAAGGAGATGTCCTCTGAAAGAGAGTCAACCTTCCTGAAAACTGTAGGGAAATTCAGATGAGATATTGGGCAGGGTCTTAGCTCAGAGTAACAAGTTGTTTGTTGAGAAGGCATTTCTATCAGTCCCTCTGCAACCAAAACCATTCAAGCTTCTTTTATGAGCCTTCCCAGTGGCGGTAAGGAAAGATGCTTCTTACGGCCACAGTTTGCCACACATCCCTTTAAAAAGCAAAACAAAACCCCTCCTCCCAGATTTTAAAAATAGGACCTGATCAGAGGATAGAATAGGGCATATTCAGAAAAAAATATTTTAAAAATATTCTTAATCCTACCACCTAGAGGTAACTGCCATCAATATCTTTGTGTAATTCTTCTAATCTTATTTACATCCACAACCATTCTATATATATACACACATATATACACAGAAATACATACTTTTTTCGAGAAAACAAAACTAAAACTGGGACGTTCTGAATGTCTCATCTTTTTTTTATTTTGCTTTTTCTGGTATTGTATCATGGACATTTTCCCATTGAGAATTAAAAATAGTCTTTAAAATCATTACTTTGAATGTTTGTATCATAGTCTACATAAATGATTTAGAATATTATATAAAAGTCTCTTATTGTTGGGGACACTTGAGGTGCCTCGTTTTCTGATTCTATAAATAAAGCTTGATATGTAAATATAAGTAAGGCTTGATCCTGGAAATAATCATTGTATATAATCATGTATGTATATGATTATTCTCTTAGGATAAATTGCTGTAAGTAGAATTATTGGGTCAAAGAGTATTAACTTTTTGAAGTCCTTGATACAAGTTGCTAAATTGTCCCCCAGGAACAGTTACACTGGCTTACATCCCACCAGCAGCCTCACATACTGTGGAATGGCTCAGTGTTGGCCAGTGGTTGGAGCACCGGCAGGCAGCAGGACTCCTGGCTGGGATAGTTAGTGAGAGGAGAACAAGGCACTTCCTACAGATCCCTTGAAGGTCAAGTGTGGGGGCATGGAATTAGCACTGCCAAGAGAGTTAGGTAACTCAGATTCTTGTTCCATATTTGTTTCAGATTGGTTGGGTAACTTCGGGCCACTCAATTAAGCTTTCTGAAGCTCAACTTAATCATCTGTAAAATGAGAGTATGGAGCTAGATGACTTCTAAGGCTCTTGTTGGCTCCAAAATTCTATGATTTCAAGTTATTTGGGGTCTCTGGGCTTTAATTAACATTATACATCTCAGAGGGTTTGTATATCAATGAGTTTACTTAAATAGTAACAGTGACATGTTGAGAGAGCCTAAGAATAATAATTATACACAGTTATATTAGACTAGTGCTTTACAGTTTACAATATTTATTATTCCACCAATTAAGATCCGTGTGCAGATGGGGAACAGAGATGCAGAGAGACTGAATGACTTAGACTGCTACTCTAGTGCTTTATACTGCTGACCTCTGAGCCGACAGCCAAGGGTTCACTACCTACACTCCGCCCTGCTCATTTGCTCATTGTGGATTTCACGGTTTGTGATTACATATTAATTTGTTTGCTTATCTGTTTTTCTTACTTTAAAAAACAAAACAAAAATGACCTGTCACTATCGAGTCAATTTCGGCTCAAAGAGATCCTACAGGATAGAGCAGAACTTCCCTATAGGATTTCCAAGGTTGTGATCTTTACAGAAGCAGATGCCACGTCTTTCTACCTTGGAGTGACTGGTTGGTTTGAACTGCTGACTTTTTGGTTAGCAGACAAGAACTTAACCACTGTGCAACCAGGGCTCCTTCCCTTGCTTTTAAGACCTTTTTTAAACAAAATTTACTGTGTTTTAGGTCAACGTTTACAGCACAAATTAGTTTTTCATTCAAAAATTTATACACAAATTGGTTTGTAACATTGGTTGCAATCCCCGCAATGCGTCAGCACTCTCCCCCTTCCCCTTTCCACCCTAGAGTCTTCGTTTCCATTTGTCCAGTTTTCCTGTCTCCCTCCTGCCTTCTCATCTTTGCTTGTATACTTGGTCTTATATATTTGATTGAACTAAGAAGCACGTTCTTCATGTGTGTTATTGTTTGTCTTACAGACCTGTCTGATCTTTGGCTGAAAGATGAACTTCAGAAGCGGCTTCAGTTCTGAGTTAGCAGGGTGTCCAGGGGGGCCGTAGTCTCTGGAGTTCCTCCTGTCTCTGTCAGACCAGTAAGTCTGGTCCTTTTTCTGTGAATTTGAATTTTGTTCTGCATTTTTCTCCCACTCTGCCCAGGACCCTCTATTGTGAATTGTGATCTTGTCAGAGCAGTTGGTGGTGGTGGCCAGGTACCATCTAGTTCTTCTTGGCTCAGGCTGGTGGAGGCTATGGTTCGTGTGGTCCATTAGTCCTTTGGACTAATATTTCCTTGTGTCTTTGGTTTTCTTCATTCTTCTTTGCTCTGAATGTGATGGGACCAATAGATGTATCTTAGACGGTTGCTCACAAGCTTTTAAGACCCCAGACACTACTTACCAAAGTAGGATGTAGAAGATTTTCTTTATGAACTATGTTATGCCAATTGACCTAGATGTCCCCCGAGACCATGGTCTCCAGCCCTTAGCACCAGTAACTGGATCCCTCAAGGTGTTTGGATGTGTCTAGGAAGCTCCTATGACTTTGCCTTGGTCAATTTGTGTTACCTTCTCCTATTTTGTGTGTTGCCTTTCCCTTTATCAAAGTTAACATGTCTACTACCTAGTTAGTGATTTCCCCTTCCTTGTAACCATCGAAGATTTTTTTTTTCTTTTCTGTGTGTAAACTTTTTCTTGGGTTTTTATAATAGTGGTCTCATATGATATTTGTCCTTTCGTGATTGACTTATTTCACTCAGCCCTCCAGATTCATCCATGTTGTGAGACGTTTTGCAGATTCATCATTGTTCTTTATCATTGTGCAGTATTCCGTTGATTGTATGTACCATAGTTTGTTTATCCATTCATCTGTTGATGGGCATCTAGGTTGTTTCTATCTTTTCGCTCTAGTGAATAATGCTGCAATGAACATAGATGTGCATATGTCTGTTGGTGTGATGGCTCTTATTCCTCTAGGATATATTCCTAGGGGTAGGATTGCTGGAACACATATTTCTACTTCTAGCTTTTTAAGGAGGCTCCATATTGTTTTCCATAGTGGTTGTACCATTTTACATTCCCACCAGCAGTGCATTAAGAGTTCCAATCTCCCGGCAACCTCTCTAACATTTGTTCCTTTCTGTTTTTTTGATTAGTGCCAGCAATGCCGAGGTGAGACGATATCTCACTGTAGTTTTGATTTGCATTTCTCCACTGGCTAATGATAGCGAGCATTTCCTCATTTGTCTCTTAGCCGCCTGAATGTCTTCTTTGGTGAAAGTTTCTGTTCATATTCTTTGCCAATTTTTTAACTGGATTATTTCTCTTTTTGTTATTGAAGTGAAATATTTTGTAAGTTTCAGAGATTAGAACCTTGTCAGATATGTCATAACCAATAAATTTTTTCCTGTCTGTAGCTTCTGTTTTTACTCTTTTGGTGAAGTCTTTTGATGACCATAAGTGTTTAACTTTTAGGAGCTCCCAGTCATCTAGTTTCTCTTCTGGTGTTTGTCCACTATTAGTTATGGTTTGTATTGTATTCATGCCATGTGTTAAGGCCCCTAGTGTTGCCTCTATTTTTTCTTCCATAATCATTAACGTTTTCGGTTTTATATTTAGGTCTTTGATCCATTTTGAGTTAGTTTTTGTGTATGGGGTGAGCTATGGGTCTTGTTTCATTTTTTTTTACAGATGGGCATCCAGTTTTGCCATCATCATTTGTTAAAAAGGCTGTCTTTCCCACATTTAATGGACTTTAGTCCTTTGTCAAAAATCAGCTGACCATAGGTGGATGAATTTACATCTGGGTTCTCGATTCTGTTCCATTGGTCTATGTGTCTTTCATTGTACCAGTACCAGGATGTTTTGACTATTGTGGCTGTATAGTAGGTTCTGAGGTCAGGTAGTCTGAGGCCTCCTACTTTTTTCTTTTTCTTCAATAATGCTTTGCTTATCCAGGGCCTCTTTCCTTTCCATATAAAGTTGGTGATTAGTTTTTCCATCTCGTTAAGGAATGCTGTTGGTATTTGGATTGGGTTTGCATTATATCTGAGGATCGCTTTGGGTAGGAGTGACATTTTTGTAATATTGAGTCTTACTATCCATGAGCATGGTATGTTTTTCCATTGATGTAGGTCTCTTTCAGTTTCTTGCAATAGTGTTTTGTAGTTTTTTTGTTTTTTTTTTGTATAGGTCTCTTACATCCATGATTAGATTTATTCCTAAGTATTTTATCTTTTTACAGGCTATTATAAATGGTATTATTTTCCTTTCAAAATTCTCTTTGTTGGTGTATAGGAATCCAACTGATTTTTGTATGTTTATCTTGTATTCTGCTACTCTGCTGAATCTTTCTATTAGTTTCAGTAGTTTTCTTATGAAATCTTTGTGGTTCTCTGTATACAGGCTCATATCATCTGCATATAGGGATAGTGTAAAAACAGCATGGGGGTGGTGTCTGACCTCCTCCAACACCACAAAGGGGAAGGAGAACCAAGATCAATAGCCCAAGGCTGATTTCCATGAGGCAGAGGCCAAACAAGCCTCCTCTCTCCATCATCTTTACTAAGTCTAACACCAACCATCCCTCCCACAGAATTCTCTACTGGGTTTGATAATTCATGGCAATGACCACACAGAACTCACAGACCATACTCACAATTATGTGGTTTATTCAGGAAGTAACAGTTACAAATCAGGCTCAGGAACACTCAAGATACAGTTCTTCATTCATGATAGCCTCCTTCCAGCCATGCTCACAGGTACTCCTCTCCTTAGCCCTCAGTCTCTGCCCAAAGGCACTCACTTTTCTCCCTCTATGGGCTGGGAAACCCACCGCAGCATCTCCTGTTGCTGGATCTCTCCTGATGGCCTCTCCTTCCTTGGTGGTGGTGGGCTCTACCCTTCTGCTCTGGAATTGGCTCTCTTTTAAGGCAAAAC